AGCTGCGAGTCTTCCTCGGGATGGCCAGATGGTGCTGCCTGTGGGTCATGGACTATGGACTAATTGCAAAACCCCTGAATGAAGCCCACAAGACACAGCCGTTTACCTGGGGCAAACCACAGAAGGAGACCTTCCTCAAACTGAAGGAGGCATTGACAACAGCTCCAGCATTAGGACTGCCTGACCTATCCAAAGATTTTCAGCTGTTTGTGCATGAAAGACTACACCCAGCACTGGGAGTGCTGACCCAAGGTTTGGGAAGCTGGAAAAGGCTGGTAAGCTCCTTCTCCAAACAACTTGACCACGTGAGTGCTGGATGGCCTTCGAGCCTGTGGGCAGTTCCAGCCACCGTGATGCTGACACAAGAAACTAGGAAACTCACGATGGGTAGACACATAGATGTCTATGTGCCACACATGGTGACCACTGTTTTAGAACAAAAGGGGAGCCATTGGCTATCTCCAAGCAAGATGATGAAATCCCAGGTAATCCTGACTGAGCAGGATGATGTCACACTAAAGACAACTAACCTCTTGAATCCAGCTTTGTTCCTAGGTACCACAACTGAAGCAGGCCCATTGGAACACGATTGTGTGGAAGTGATAGAACACACCTGTTCAGCTAGAGCTGAAAGATGTCCCACTGGAACAGGCAGACTGGGAGCTGTTTACAGGTGGAAGCAGTTTTGTGGGGAACAGGACCAGATACCCTGGATATGCAGTAACAACAAGTGCAGTGGTGGAGACAAAGGCCTTGCCAGCAAACACATCTGCCCAACGAGCAGAACTGGTTGCTTTAACCAGGGCATTAGAGCTGAGTGAAGGGAAGAAAGTAAATATCTGGACTGATTCAAAATATGCTTTTGGAGTGGTGCATGTACATGGGGCACTGTGGAAAGAAAGAGGACTGCTGTCTTCCCATGGCACACATATTAAACATCAAGATGCAGTCCTGCAATTAATAAAAGCAGTACAAAAGCCTGAGCAAGTAGCAATCATGCACTGCAAAGCTCACCAATCAGGAAATTCCAAGATTTGTGAAGGGAATAGAAAGGCAGACTGGACAGCACGATAGGCTGCCTGGAAAATGCAAACAACAATGGCATTGATACCTTTAAAAGTTAATGTATCTCAATTTAATTTGCCTCCAAAACCGAAATATTTAGTAGAAGATGAGAAATTGAGACATTTGCTAAATGCACAAAAGAATTCGGAAGGGTGGTATGTAACTGCACAAGGACAAATAGTGTTACCCCCCTTGATAATGACAGAAGTTCTACAAATTAAACATAATGAATGTCATTGGGGTGCAGAGGCATTGGTAAAACTGCTAAAACAAAAATTAACCTCAGTACGGATGCTAACAATGGCAAAATCAGTAATGTCAAAATGTGAGATCTGCTTGAAAAACAACCCGGTGGCTAGACGCCAAGCACAGCTAGGGAGGATCAGGATGGGAATAGAACCAGGAGACTACTGGCAGGTAGATTTTGTAGAACTGCCAAGGACTCGGGGATGAAAATGTCTGTTGGTAGGGGTTGACACATTTTCAGGATGGCCAGAAGCCCTTCGCTGTCGCACAAATCAAGCAAAGGAAACAGTTAAGTGGTTATTACAGGAGATCATTCCCAGGTTTGGGGTACCCTTAGGGATATCATCAGATAGGGGGCCTCATTTTATAGCAACAATAGTAAAAGAAATAAGTAGATGGCTGGGAATAACCTGGGACCTCCACACGCCATGGAGACCCCAATCCAGTGGACAGGTAGAGAAAATGAATCAAACACTAAAGAGGCAAATCAATAAAATATGCCAAGAAGCCAAACTAAAGTGGCCCCAGGCTTTGCCAATAGCATTTTTAAGAATTCAGATAAAACCAAGGAGTGGAATGTCAGTTAGTCCCTATCAGATATTATATGGGAAACCATATGAATCTCCTGAACCTAACCCAAATGTACATGTCACAGGGAAACAAGAGGTTCTTTCTCTTGGGAAAACTTTAGCCCGGCTCCAGAACACCCTCGTGTGGAACAGACCGCTGACTCTCGAGAATCCAGTTCATGATATACATCCAGGAGATGAGGTGTACATTAAAAATTGGAATGAAGAACCACTGAAAGAAAAGTGGACTGGGCCTCATCAGGTACTGTTGACCACCTTCACAGCAATGAAAATAGCCAGTGTGGACCCCTGGATTCACTATACCCGAATGAAGAAAATACATTCCAGATCACAGACTGTGTAAACTGTAGGACCAACAAAGCTGCAGATAAGATGCATTTAATTGCTTTAAGAGTGTTAATAGTAGTTGCACCACTGCTCATTTTATGGTTATTGATGTCTTAGGGATGTGGAATGCAAAAACGTCAAATAATCACTCTTCATTCTAGAATGAAGACAGAGATGCAAGCAAAAACACAAGTGATAAGAATTTCCAATGAAATTCGGGCTGAGAATGTGATGATTGAATTAGTTAAAGACTTTGCCAAAATACAGAACACTAGCAGAATAACTGCCTGTCTGCCAATACCGAAGGCAGCAGGAGACCCAATAAATTGGGGGATTATAACATCAAAATTACCTAAAGTACAAGAGAACAAAACAATTATTTGTAAGCAAGTACCAGAGTCGAGGCAAGTAGTCAAAGAGGCCTGGAAAATAACAGAAGAGTGGATGAGGCCTCTGAGGAAATGAGATTGCATCTTAAGTCATGGCAGGGTAGGACAAATCATAGAGTAGTGGGTTGAAAACAAAGACATCGCAAATTGGGAATGCTTTTTGCCACATTATGAAAAGATCAGAGAAAACATTACAGAAACCACTCTGATATGGAAGTGTGAGGCCAAAGATAGGAAAGGTCAGATAGAGCCTTGGGACAGTGTTTGGTCCATGGGTATACTTCAAAAATTCCAATATATGGCAAACACCCCTTGGTGTGTTAAGTGGGAAGGCTCTGAGAACGAAACAGATCCAGCAGTAATGAACACTGCCACTAGTAGCCGAACAAAGGCAGACAAAGTATGTTGGTGGGCATGTAATAAAACCTATGACTGCACTTCTGATTCCATAGAGATAAAACAAATGCCAGCTCTGGTAACAGCTCTACAAATTGGTTGTGCTTGCAGAGGTATTAAACATAAACAGGGCAAAATGGATTACAAAATAATTATAGGATGTACCAGGAGTACAATCCGAAGTCCAGGGCCATTTGTATGGGCAACAAGTGATGGTACTTGGAAAACACATTTGCCTGTAGATGGGAAAGTAATTACTTTGGGCCTCCCTACCTTATGTCCTATTTGGAAAAAGTCCCCATTTAATGGAAAACATGAACTTCTGCAGATAAGAACCAGACGAGAAGTTCTAGACAATGAGAATCAGGATGACATTTGGCAAGAACCCTCTAGTGGAGTGAAATTTGGGTGGGCCCTAGAGTCCTTTCTCGCTCCTATAGCGAACTATCGGAATAGGGAAATGTTGTATAAACTTACAGGTCAGGTAGATAGACTAGCAAGAGTTACTCAAGAAGGATTTAAAGAACTAAATGTACAATTACAAGCCACCACAAAAATGACTCTACAAAATCGATTTGCCTTAGATTTGCTACTCCTAAAAGAGCATGGAGTGTGTGGTTTTTTAAAGGGACAGATTGATCACTGTTGCATCCACATCCCAAATGTAACAGAAGATGTAGAACTTGACATCAATCAGTTGCAACAAATAGAGCATGGAGCACAGGAAGAGCAAAATGATTTGACCACATGTTGG